ATGTTCATCTGCAGACAACGACGGCCTACCGGGGGGCACAAAACGACAGCCGCGCGATAAATGAAAAAGGAAGGAAGGTAAAGGGAAAAAAAAACAAAAAAAAGAGGGGACACAAAACGACAGGCGCACAAAATGAAAAAAGGAGAAGGGGGACACAAAACGACGGCCAACTGGAAAAAAAAAAAAAAGCCGCCTGCATATTGGATGGCTCGCCTCCACAATGTTCGTCCTCATCAACGCCAGCTGTGTGCCCCGCCCCCAGGGCGCGCGCTCTCGTTTAATGGCGCGCTGTGAACATTTCGGTACACACACCCCTCTGCACACCCCCCCGCCCTCGATCGCCTTCATCCGCCGCCCCTCACCAACACTTCGACCCGAATCCAGCGAGCAGCACGTCATGGACCTCCGCCCCGTGCCCAATGCTGCTTAAGGGATAAAGATAGTATATATTTTTAACACAGTATCAAAGAGGAGACAAAATCCAGCGGCCTAGCTCAGTTGGTAAGGCACGCAAGTGGCATTCAGGAGGTCTTGGAGTCAATCCCCATTGGTCTCATGTACCTTCCTGGGCAAGCTCAGCGCCCGCCACCTAGAGATAGGCCATTAGGCCCCTGAGCAGCATTGAGCAGAGACTGCTGATGTTCGTACGGGGATGGGACTGGAGGGGAGGCACAGCGACTGCCCCATCGAAAAAGCCCGGTCATGATGCTACCGGCTGACCCCTGGCCGGTATCACCCACCTGCTAAAGCAGGTATCGCACCTGTTGGTGGGTGCAGCTCCCGCATGTTCCCTGGTTGGACACGGTTGTGGCTGATATGGGGTTCCTTGTAATACTATAATGATAATAAAAAAGACCTGGAAGGCCATCCTGTCCAGATTTGACAGGTTATCGAATCGGTTGGGCTTGAGCCTTTTAAAAAGAGGGAACAGGAGACAACAAAAAATAGGCAACCAAGCCCAAGCGGGCTAGCTCAGTTGGTTTGAGCACGGGAGTGGTTTGTAGGAGGTCGTGGGTTCGATTCCCCACGTCATCCATTCTATATCGAGAGAAGAATATAGGTTAGTTTAAAAAATAAAAAAGGCAACAGAGAAAAGACGGACATGAAAAACAAACATACAAAAAAAAACAAGAAAGAAACACAGACATACCGTCATAGAACTACCACATCCATCACCACCGTGATCGTCACCATCATGAACTGAAGAAAAGAAAAGAAAGGAATAAAAGAGGCCACCATTGTCCACTGGCCTTATTGCGGACACGGCCGGAACTCGCTGGAGTGGATGCCGGTAAGTTTGTAGGTGACAGATCAACAATAAAGAAGATGAGCTGTACGTTGTTGAAGTACAGATGCTGGTTTTCGATATTGCCGACCATAGGGCAGAAATTGCCTATGGTAGCTTGTACACTTCTCTTGTGTGAAGCCTACTACACGGTTGTGTGTGATCTGATGTCAGTGTTGATGAGCTGGAGAAAGGTGCAGATGAAATTGAGGTTCCTGAAGTGAAAGAACCAACGGGAGTTGGTCGGGTCTACTAGGAGCCATGACCTGACAGTCAATCATTGTTACATGTTAGTTATAAGTTGCATTACGAGATCTGTGGATGAAGTGTTCATCATCGAAACGGCCTTATCACCACGATAAAAAAAAAAATATCACGCACCACCATAGGTCGATGGCCTTAAAGCACTAGTACCTCCGCCAGTGTTGGGAAAATAGGGAAAACTGGCAGTTTTCCCAAACTCCTTAAAAACCGGAGGGCGGGCCCGACGACGGCTGCCATTGATAAATCTCATGTGCGACCGTCGTTTTGTTTAGGCCTTCCTAAACGGCTGGAGGCCCTCCCAAGGCCTGATATGTTCCCACTCGGCAAAGGTACTAGTGGTACCTTTCCCCATGCCGGCCTCGGGTGGGCCTCCAACCTTTTAGGAGGCCGAAACGAAATGACGGCCGCTGATGAGATTTATCAACGGCGGCTGTTGTCGGACCTTGCCCCCATTTTTTTTGGACTATGGGAAAACTGCCAGTTTTCCCATTTTCCCAACAGTGGAGGAGGTAGTGATTTTCAACTTTTCACTCATCAAACTCGATTGGGATTCGAGATCGGGTCTGCATTTCATCAGGTTGTAGTAGGTGTACCAACTGAGCTAGGCCAGTTGGCGCACAGCCTTTCTTTTATTGTTTTTAATCATCGAGCAGATTTTATACTAAAAAAAGTCTCGACTTGCAACAAGAAGGTGACTGCATGGTGGCACGGTTTCTGAACAGAGTTGGTCTGCGCATCTACGAAGTGGAACGGCAAATGGGTGCCTGTTTGTGTGTGTGTGTTGTAGATTTTCACCACAACAGCCCATGCTCCACCTGGATGAGTAGATCCAAAAGCGAAGCAGCTTTACATCTTAATGATGCTCATTCTTATGCATTTAGTAGTGGTACACAAGAGGAGGGGAGGAAGGAAAGGGTTAGGGGGCGGAGTTGTATAGGAAGCGACGAATGGGGCAGAGGGAGAACGGGCAGCGGAGGGAAGCGGAGGGACAAGGAATAGAACAGAGGTGAGAAACTTCACAGAGTTCTCAATACTCACCGCTGGAGCAGACTACTGTCTTCACCCGAATAGAACGCCCGGTCATTATAGCTGTATATTTGGCACAACTTTCAGCCCAGATACGGCGATAATTACTGGGCGTTCTATTCGGGTGAAGACGGTAGTCTAGAATGAACACGAGGCCAGTCAGTGCTTGGGTTGCAGGGAAATTTTAAGTTGAGCAGCAGCCTTTGCCTATGGTAAGCGGCCACCCCTACGGGCTGGGCAGGACCGATCATTCAGGCGTGGACTGTGGAAGCACCGCATCCAATTCTTGCAGTTGCAATCGCGGCACCGAATGGCACGGTGCAGACAGATGTCACAGGCTACGTGAGTGTATGTGTGTGTACGTGTGTGCATGTGTGATGATGTGTGTGATACAAATCCCCAGCGGCCAACACCAAGACATGGTTTTCCCATGGGAACAGACTCAACAAGAGGCTTCCCAGCCCAATGCACTTTTGAGCATAAGACCTAAGTCACTAAGTGTCTTCAATGCAGATCCTTAAGAAAAACTATACCATATTACCGATCAAACAGGCCGCATGCGGAAGGAGACCAACAAATAAACCACATGGGTTTAGTGATAGACTGGTCTTTTGGAGTTGGGCGGGCTCATAAGGAGACTGAACCCTTGACGGCCCATAGAATCCCCGTATTGATGCTTTGAGTCGTGAACTTCTTTTATCCCTGTTAAGTGCAGACAGCCAGGGAGGTGGCAACACAACCAGCGACAGCAAAGCACGTAGGATGAAGTATTTCCCGACATTTTCCTGATTCATTCTGTGTAAGGGACGTTGGACCCGTTTTCCAGCAGGTGATGCTCCCCACCAATAGATGGAGCCTCTCCCCGGGTGCTAGTGATGCCTGCCTTTTTTACCAGCAGCACTAGCACTGCAGGGGGGGTTAAAAAAAGAAAAGAAAAAGGCTGAAGGGCACGGGGAACGTGGGTAGGCACAAGGCCAGCTTTGCTTTGTCCAGTTTCTATATTTTGTTCTGGAATAGCATAAGGTTGCTGAAGCAGGGGACACTGGACCCGTTTTCCAGTACGAGCCTAAGCTGGGTATTGGCCCCAGTATGCCGGGTTGGGATGTGGAGGGATTCCCGGCCTCCTTTCGCTCATATTGGTGAAATTATGCTATTTACAGTTTAAAAAAAAAAGAAAAAGAAAAGGAAAAAAAAGGCGAACACCAGGGGAGCCTGATGAGCAGCAGGCACCAAGGCAGCAAGGGGCAACAAGGCAACAAAACAGAGAGGCAGCAAGGTAGTGAGACAACAAAGACACGAGGAAACAAGGCAGCGAGGCACAGTGAGCGAGAAAGCGGCTGCGCAGCAAGACACTACCCCTTGAAGCAAGGCAACGAACGAGGAAAGCGAGAGAGCAGCCAACCAGGGGCAGCACTGGCAAGGCAACAACACAAGGCAAGCAGAAGGGTAACCAGGCACGAAGGCAGTCCACTGATACAGCACAGAGCAAAGCAGACGTCATCTACTCACACAGCAAGTAGAACGCTATGGAATGCAGGACCACACCACCCTCGAAGCCAGGGAGTCACTTCAACGAATGTCTGTCGCCACCTAGGGAACACGCAGACACAGGCATGCCAAACACAGCAACCCCCCTAAGTGGATAATAGTGTTGCAGGTACTCCAAACAAACAGCACTGACTATTTGGCAAATCTGGAAGGCTTTCACGCGGATACAGACGAGCAGCACAGGAAAAGACCAGGAAACACACAACATGAACAGAAGAAAGAAAATATTTTGGATGAGAAGATGGAAAGAAGAGACGTTATTCATGAATATGATTGTGCGTGTTTGTATGTGTGTCTGAGAAGGAGAGAGATGGGTAGGCAGCTATGGAGGTAAGCAGGTGCAGGAAGGTGGGCACACACACACACACACACACACACACACAGAGAGAGAGCTGTCTCTTATACACATCTAGATGTGTATAAGAGACAGGTGTGTGTGTGTGTGTGTGTGTGTGTGTGTGTGTGTGTGAGAGAGAGAGAGAGAGAGAGAGAGAGAGAGAGAGAGAGAGAGAGAGAGAGAGAGAGAGAGAGAGAGAGAGAGAGATGTGAAATTTATTTAGGAACAAACTCACATTTGGGGGGTATCCATAGTCATTCATGACAACAAGATACGCAAACATCCCGGCAAATGTCTGTATTACTCCGATCTGGAAGTATGCGTGGCTGAGCAGTTTCCAATTGACGAGCCGATCCCTCCTAGTGTCTCTTGGAGGGCGGTCCATTATATCAGACTCCTTCGTCTCATAGGCTAGAGCAATTGCAGGTATCATATCTGTTCCCAGGCAGATGGTGAGCATCAACACTGTGGAGAGCGGCAACGGAAGACCAATCAGCACATTAAGAAGGAAAGGGACAAGCTCTGGGATATTGACAGAGAGAGCGTAGCAGATGGTCTTCTTCAGGTTGTCGAAAATCAACCGCCCCTCTTCAACACCACCAACGATAGATGCAAAATTATCATCCATCAGGATCATATCGGCTGCCTCTTTTGAGACATCCCTCCTGTGAAATCAGTCAATCAAGAGAGAAAAAAATGTTACCCTCGAAAAATCAATGCTGAGACTGGGAAAGGTGGTGGGAAAGAATAGCAAGAAGACATGATGGATGCAGATACAAGATGGAGACCACTTAGGCATGCAATGAAGTAATGAAGGACTTGGCATGCAGCCGGAGGGACTGCCAGGAACACCCCCACCTCCCCCTCTCCCCCTGGGGGCTGCCCTACTGCGTGTCTGGGTGCTGCTAGCAAGCCTCCCGACCAGTAGAACAGCCCCCGAAGAGCGGTTAAGGCTGGGGGTGCCCCCCTCTCTAACAGCCCCCCCCCCCCTCCTTCGTTTAGGCGTCTAGAGCCGCAAGGTTTAGGCTGACCCTCTTCTCTTATCTTTTCTCCCCACCTTCTGTGAAACATGCTTGCCAGTGATAAGCAACCCGCCCAGCCCACGAAGTGCCACCCAGTCCACATGGCCTGACTCATCCCACATAGTGCCGCCCCAGACCACATCTTACCACCCTGTCCACAGTACCGCCCGGTCCACCATACTGCCCGCTCCAGATCGTCTGACTTGCCCCGCGTGGTACTTCCCAACCCACATCCCACATACTACTGCCCAACCCGCATCGCAGATACCTTCTTTTTTTTTTTTTTTTTTAACAACCTCTCTTGTAGGTGCTAGGCGGTGTTGGTAAGAGCAATCACTGCTAGCACCCCAACGAAGACTCCATCCATTGGTGGGGAATACTACTGCCAAGCCCACATCAGGTATGACACAACTTGCGTAGTATCAGCCAGGCCGGATCACACTACTCAGCCCGCCAACTGGCAGTGGCAATGGCCAACTTGTGCCTGAGGTTCGCCAGGTCTTTTTTTTTTTTTTTTTTTTTTTTCCCGTTGTCGTGCCCGTGTTTTTTTTTTTTCGGGGGGGGGGGGGGGGGAAGGTGTGTTTGTACCGTCCACTATTTCTTTATTTGGGGGGGGGTTGTTGGTGCTGTCCAGTCAACATACTATGGTGGTCTGCCTGAACAGTCGTGCGCACAGAGTGCTGACAAGTGTCTGAGCGTCGTGTACGCAAGGCGTACTGATAGGAGCGTGGTTCCTAATCGGCCTATCTCAAACCGAATTAATCAGCATACCACGTTAGATTCATGATCAATTCATCAGTACATTCGATAGTAGTACACACAGCTGCACTCCATTACTTCCTTCCTTTTGACTCAACCATCAATAATAGACTCAACTCCATACATGGACTCTCGGCTCAGTCATCCATAGACTCATATTCACAACTCAATACTCCCAACGTAGGAGATAGAAGCAAAAAGGTAAAAAAGATCCTTCCGAGGTATTAAAAATCACTCCGTGAAGCACAAGTCGATGCTAGGGACAGCATCCTGCCCGCGCATCCTGGCATAAATGCCGAACGCATTTCTACTGCTGCCGAACACAGCGCCATCAGGGGCTACTCGAAAGGTAAGTATGCTCTACTCCTTCGTCCTATAAATATTACTGCTCCTTTCTCTGCTCTGCGTATTCTAGCACTAACTCTCCCGCCCTTTGCTTTTTAAAATTTAAAAATTCCTCTCCTAAGCACAAAGTACTATTGCCACTTAGCATGTACCGGGTCGATTCCCTGTACCCGTTCATCCTTCACTCTTCAAAAGTGCCGCGTCCATTTTACGCCGCGTGTTCACTTTCATATCTCCTTCATATTGGCCCCGCCCGTTGCCAACTATTTACTGCCCGTTGCTTCTACTTTAGGTGTGCTCACTTTTGTACTGGCCCCGCCAATTACCAATTGGTCCATTTTGAAACTTGGCATGTACCGGGTCGAAAAACTATATGTGTTCATCCACGGTTTTTCAGCAGTGCCGCACACTTTTTCCCCACGTGTTCACTTTCGTATCGGCCCCGCCCAGCAGGGTCGGTCCTGCTGCTTCCTTTACCAGTGTGAGGTCCCAGATTCTGTGCAGGTATCCTGTAATAACTGCCTTTTTAGTATGTACTCCGGAGTAAGACTCAAAGTCCTGCAGCCCCTGGAAAACGATCTTCCCCCTGTTAGCAATCCTGGTCCATTGGCTGCCGTGGCCATACACTGCACAAAAGGGGGGAACATATTGATCCGTAGTTCACATCCCAGAAACAGCCATGCCTTCTTGCATCCATCGGTTCTTTTTAACGTCAGCTTCTCATTGTAGCACTTCTCGAACTTGTTCATGATCTCCATCGCTTTGTTCAGACTGTTTGCCTTGTCGATCTTGAACGAAATGAAAGTGGAGACGTCATTGTTCATGATCATCCATATGGTGGTCATTCGAGCAGTGAAATGAGGCCACCAACTATCGGTGCCCACGGCTGTTAGCTGCAGCCATTCGCCGCAGCATGCCAAGCAGCTTGTTAATACAAAAGCCTCCTTTTCGTAACGAAATAAAAAAGAAAACAGGAGCGATGGCAAGATACCACTGCGGATGACGCTTATTCCAAAGTTATCTCCTAGACACCACGTATGTTCAGACACATTCAAAGCCTCTCTCTCTCTCTCTCTCTCTCTCTCTCTCTATCTATCTATCTATCTATCTACCTACCTATCTATCTATCTCTCTATCTCTCTTTTTTCGAAAATGGAAAAAGGATGTGATCAACAGTTACGGCACCTGGAATTCCACAAGTTGCTATTGCATGAAAACACTTAGATCGCCAGTACTTCGCCCAGCTATAGGCCGTGGGAAAAAATAGAGTAGAAACGTTTCTAGTATGATGAATTTGTGCACTCCTGTATGGGCCGGTATGTTTCCTAAAATCTTGGCTCGTTTATGGGCACGACTTTAAGTGCAATGAACCTCCTAGTTCAACACAAGTGAATGCACATATTCACACTTCATGCATATACGAGATCACACAGAGCTCACACTGATGACCAGAGAGATTAAGACCAGATAACGCAGCTCATGAATTCCAACAAGTTGTACAAGAGCAAAAAGAGTTCCGAGTCACCAGCGCACATCAGCGCATGTCATAGGTATCCAATCATCCAACATGATCACCCAGGTAAGTTTCATCTTCCTCCCTGCTATTCTCTCTCTTAGTTGTATCCCCCCTCCTTGCTGGTCTTCTCCTTAGCTCCTGACCTCGCTGTATCTTCTCTCCCTACATGCATGCACACTCACACTGACTTCTACCCTCAAAGATCTACTCTGAATACACCCACTGTTAACTCTACTAACTCTCTGAAGACTACTACTAAACACTAACACTAACACCCTGCGCTGGCGCAGCTATGGCTGCCTTCACTGTCTTCCTCTCTCTCTCTCCCTCTTTGTGCAGCACTCTGGCTTCAGCGCTCTGCCCCTCACATTAGCGCACAAGTGCACCAGCAATTCCACACTCTTTGCGAATGAGCAATCTGACTGAATGTGAGGCTGGCCAGTCCTTTTGTAGTCTTGGTTTGCACTTCAACTTGTGCCAGCCTCTGTTTCTTGGGTCCTGACTGGTTCCGATACCACATCCCCATGGACTGTCTGCTTCTGAATGTCAAGGCCTGGAACCTTCCCGAATTTCCATTGGACTGCTGCTGCTTGGGCCTTTGATTCATGACTTTTCACTTGTGAACATGACCTTTGACTGTGGACAGTGGCTCTTCAATATGACTTTTCACTAGGAAACGTGACTCCTGCCTTTAAGACATGACCTTTGCTTGGCGAATCTGCTTTTTCACTCGTGGGATGTGACTATTCTGAATGGCTTTTTATTAGGAGACGTGACTCTTGTCCCTGAGACGTGACTGTTTGCTGGGTGCCTGTTGGACCAGACTGCTGAGGTACACGATTGTGACTTTTCTGAGTTTGACGAACTCGGCCTTTTCTTGACCTGGGCATCTGACCCTGAGATCCGAATTTGGGGTCTGAATTGTGGAAGGCCTTTCACTCTCGCCGGCCTAATTTCGAGGTCCTCTGAAAAAAAATCCAATTCTTACCTATCTACTATTTTAACTCCTCTCTTAGCTCTTTCATAGTATGACACAATATGTGGTGCTGTTTCTATTAGTTCATCTCTTGTGAACCAGCGATCTTCTGTAGGTTCTTGATAGGCAAATCTGACCTTATATTGTCGCTGTGGTCTACCCCTGCGTCCAGATCTGTAAACATCTTCCCCAACAATTCTATCCACATCATACTTACCATCCATATCAGGGGGAATCAGAGATCTGTGTGATGGAAATATGTCATTACTAACACAAGGCAATAACTTTCAAGCGTGGAACACCGGATACGTGTGCTAATGTGGAGGAATCTCGACAACACCATCAACATCACCAATCACATCAAGAATCTGCAAAGGGCCTCAATAAGCAGGAAATAACTTCTGAGAAATGTTCTCCTCAGGGAGAAACTCTTTTGACTTCACCCAGACTAGATCACCTACAGCAAATTGCGAAGGTCTGCGATGCTTATTAGCCTGTTCTATCATCTGATGTTGTGCCATACTAATGTTCTCCTTAACTTTTTCCAGGTCTTTCTGATATTGGACAGCGAATTCCCTGGTTCCTGGCGGAAGTCTCTGTACTTGATCAGGGTTTAAACAGTCGATGGGTCGACGAGGGCGCCACCCTAGATGCAGTTCAGTAGGCGTTCTTGATGTAGCTATAGGCACTTGCAACTTTTGGCAGATGTTCATCCCAGTCAAACTGATCTGGCCAGATGTACATGCGCAGCACTTGCTGCAGCAGCTTATTCATCGGCTCAGTTTGTCCGTTTGTCTCAGGGTGTCTACCTGAAGACATAGTCAGTTTGGACCCATATACCTTCATTAGTTGTTGCCACTGCTCTCCTGTGAACCGCGAATCCCTATCACTTACAATAGTCAAGGGATGCCCAAAATCCTTCACCCAATGGTTAAAGAATTCCCTAATCACCAATTTTGTTCTTGCTTCTCCAGGAAGTGGAACAAACACAACAAACTTGCTAAACCGGTCCACTATAACCATAACCTGACTCTTTCCGTTTCTGCT